CAGCAAGTCTTGCATAGCTTGGTGAGCCCAAATACCCCTGCATAGGTGAAGATCTAGGTGAGCCACCCTGCTACTCGGCCCCTCCCAGAACCCAGCTGCCCCTACTCTGGTGTGGTCTCTACTCTATGGCCTGGATGCCTGCTTGTTAAGTTGGGGTTTCAGCCTTCCAGAAGCCCCACTATACCAGACAGATTGAAGAGACCCTAGCAGCTAGGGCCTAGCCTCTATGGGGGCCACCCACTACCCATACAGTGGGACCAGCCTGGTTTGGGCTTGACTCGGTCAGGGGGAGGATGGGGGGCAGAGGGGAACAGTGAGGGTGACGAGGCACTCTCTAGGCTTCTTGGCTGAATGCTGATTCTCTGGCCCACAAGTCTATCCCTGATCCCCAAGGACCTTCTTGCCTCACTCTCCACAATTAGCCCAGAGACCTGGTGTCCTAGGGATGTCACTGTAGCTCCACACTGCACACGTTGTCTGCTCCTGGCCTGTTTTGGCCTCTGACCCATGAAGGTTCAACAAGGTCAGGTAACTCAGATGTACATGAGAGCCCTGGAGGAGACCACCAAACCCTGGAACTACCGAACACTGGCTTTGCTGTGGGCTCCTGTAACGAGTCCCTTAGAAGTGAGTTCTTTCCCCAGCCTTAGCCCTCAGCCAGGTAGCTCAACAGGGTATCTTAGACTTCAGCAGGTGGCCAGGGGTGACACAGAGTAATTAATGGTATGGATAATGCAGGACCTGCTGCTACTGGCTACCTCCTCCTGCTCCTCAGCCAAGTACCGGAGACCCCAGGGAGAGACAGATAAGTGAGCCACAGAGTGAACAGTGTCCTCTGTCTTGTGTTGGTTGGGCAGGATGTGCCAGAACTAACAAGGCAAGGCTACTCTGAAGGGATAGGGTTCCTGAGTGTTGGGGGCAACTAAGTGTGGACATCTGCCATCTGGACCCAGGATCATGCCATCAGCCTTTAAGAGGACAGTTAAGGGTGTGATGCAGGAGGTGGGCAGCAGCAGAGGAGATCTCATCCCAGTGGACTGCCTTTGGAATTCAATCACCTTCAAGCCCTACAGCCTCCTGAGCAGGAGACTCTCAAGCTCATAGTTCTGGAAACCCCGTTATACATGTGTCAACCTGTCAAAGACATCCTGGAACCCATCTCACCAGAACCAGGTATCTCCTTCTCCTTTACCTGCTCCCCTCTTCCACATCCTGAGTCCCCAGACTGAATAGAAGAAGGGAGTGGGTGAAGCCCAGCCTGGCATCTTACTGGGCATGTTCAGCTCTACTCCTGTGGCTCTATTTCCCGAGGGTGGAGTTCTTTAAAGGTCCCATTGCTACAGAGGAAAGACAAGGCAGTGGCTACTGGAATATGACTGTAGAGCTGGTCCCATTTTAGAACCGGAGTGTATTGGCCACTTCCAAGTCTCTGATGTCGTCGATGGGAACACTCAGGGCAGTGTGGCGATATCAGGCATGGGAGAAAGGAGAATTGCTGGTGCGGCTGCAGTGTCTGACAGTTCCAGGGCCTCCATGAGTGTGTGTATACTTTCTGTGAATCTGCAGACCTGGTCGCTCATTCAACTAGAAAGGTGTGCCCCGAACACAGAACACCTCAAAGCTAAGGTGCACTGGGAACCGACTTCTCAGGGCTCCACATGTGCTCTCTATGCCTCCCTGGTCCTATTGTCAAGTCTAGGAATCAACAAGTCTCATGGCTTGGGGAGTTCCTGGGCTCTGTGTCTAGAGAGAAGATGTTTCTAACTGATGTGGCCAAGGGGTTTTGATCACCCCTGGGAGCTTGCACAGCTAGGACAAGTGTTTGGTACTCGGTGGGGACCACACTACCTCCATAGTGCAGCTCAGCCTTAGCTTGCTGAGAGGTGAAAGTAGCAACAGCTTCTTCCTGATTGTCCCGCGCTACCTCCCGCCAGCAGGAATGAC